AAAGCTGCTATATTAGTAACTAAACTGATCGGCTTGCGCTAAAGCCCATGAGAAGCACTCACAGAGTGTACTGTGCTAGATAAATTGCAGGGTAACATCATTGCTACAGTCAATAGCAAACAGCATGGGGACAGAAACATCTTGAATTCACACTGCTATTTTTGTGGATGAACATCTAACCACTGCTGTACATCCAGCTCCAAAACTTTTGCTCAGCTAAACCACAAATCCATGGCAGCTAGATATCCCATCTTGAGCTAAAATCTTTGTATATATATCTTACAAGAAAGACACCAGTGACAAATGTTTACATTTGAAACATCAATTTAAGTACAGAATATCTTCACATGACTACCGGAGAGGATTAGGATAAGCAGAGATATAAATGCCTATAATGAACAGTATTTTATCTTTGCTGCAGAGGTGACCTAACACCATGGTGACACAGAAGATTTAATATAGTGCCCAGCTGAGGAAAGGAATTTTGCACAATATTAGATGACAAACTTGTTCCATTGTTTAAGTGCCATAGGCATTATTACCCTTTTATGAGACTGGGGTACGAGCTCATAGACTGTAACTCTTACATCTGCCTTTGAACAAGTTTGCCTGTCTAATTATGTATGTGAAGTATGTCTGCCTCTAAACACCAAATTTTTGCAGCTGAATTTTGATTAAAAAATTCCTCACACCCCTCCAAGCAGACACAGCAGTCTTCACTGCCTACCCAGCTTGGAGTAAACCTTGATTCCACCTGGACTGATTGCATTTCAGTAGCAGGGGAGGAGTACAGACACATTTGCAGGATCCATTCTACCATTTTTCACCGTGCAGAAGAGCAGCTGAACTGAACTGTTGAGCCCACTTACAGATGTGAATTTCTTTCTTTTTATAATTTAAACATCCATTACTTAGGGTCTCTTCATGACCAACTTATTATTCTTTTTCAGATGTTCTTCTCTAATTCATTAGATTCTACAACCTGCTGTTGAAATTCTGGTAAAGTTAGATCAATATGAAAAGAGTTTGTTCAACTGCAGTTTTCCAGGAAGAGTATATAATGCCAACAGTTTGAACTCAGAGAAAATAACAGTTCTCCTCTGTTTAAATTTCCAATGGGTTCGTTCAGATTATAGCTCATCGAAATAAAGAAATTATGGGCAACTATGTCTAATTTTCTCTTCAGAAAGCTGGAATACCAAGAGCTGGTTAAGAAACCAAGGGACCGAACTTTAAAAATAGCATAGGCGATTCTTACTCACCTCTCTCTGCCTTGCAGCACCACCTACAGAGAGGCTGTCAGAATCACACCCACTGCCAAAACTCGGGAAACTCCCAGTTCGCTGGCCAACCAAATCCTGGTTCAGTGATTAACACACTCTGGAAACTGCGAGTTTGACAGCCCTGAAGCCTGAAAATCTTCTGCTACAGGATAAAGGCAAGGATATGGTCTGTTTTTCCAAGAACCCCTCAATTCCCATGCAGAAAATGCACCTCTAGCAATGACAGAGCTAATCCTGCCACTTTGCCGATTTTTTCTATAGAAACTTTCCTGCAGAAGAACTTTTCTGGCAGCCAAGTGTCCCAGCTGCAAAAGGATGGTGGGATTTTCCAGGGCAAAATGCACTTGATGGTCCATTAATCCTACCTTTGGCACAAGCCGATTGTTCAGGCTTCAAAAGACTGCAATATTTCACCTCCTCCATGTATCTACTCAATTACACAAGATAAAATGTTGTGGAGATTGACCTTCATCTGATCACTGAAGCATAAGGTCTGTTTGCCCTTGACTTAGCCTGGGTAGCTAAACAGCGGTGATACAGTGACTGGACTGCAAGAAAGGAGTTAGCAAGCACAGTTTAAAAGCTGGCTTTTGAAATATGGCTCTGATTATCTTCCCATTTAAAAAAAAAATGCTTTGCCATTCACCTAAAAATAGAATATTCTTCTGAAATATAGAGTATTGTTGTCTTCCTCCAGAAGCCTGATCCAAATGCCATGGTAGTAACTGGAAAGTTCCCCCTGGTTTGGATCAGGCCCTAGCTGTGGGAGGCAGTGGGTGCAGGAATGTGTGAGTGCAGGCAGCATTGCTATTTCATTGCTCATTAAGAACAGCAGAAAAGAACAGGCATTAGAAAAGCAGATAAAAGGGCAAAGGAAGACACAGGCTCCAAACCTATGGCAGTGAGGTTTAGCATCAAGAATCAACAGCCCAAAATATTAACAGTATACGCTTAGAAAGATGTATTTAGGGATATGTGCTGTCTCAGGAGGGGAAAATATGATGCTTTTTATGAACGGATTGAGTTCTACTTTATAATGCATTTGTTTGCCCTTGCCATGCCTGTAGGAAAGATATACCAGGACCTCATTCCTCTGATGGTTAAACATTTTCTTCTAACATCCAGCCTACATTTATTCATTACCAGACAGAATAGGTCTACCAGCTTTTCTCTGTTTAGAAAACCAGTTATCTTACAAAGTCATCAGGTTACTCCAGCACTATCCACCTTCAGTAAATGCACGTTGTATTTTAGCCTGTTTCTGTCTGCCATCATGTCTGGTATTATTCTTTCCTGCTAAATTTATCCAAAAGTCTTGTATTTTATTTGGATCAGATTCCAATCATTTTTTCCTCTTTTTAAATGCTGGAACAATTTTTCCTGCTCTCAGATTGTGTTGTGTTGCTCCTGCAGTGATGCTGTTGTACAGCCAGATACAATCTTGATAGGCCAGTGCTGTTAGATGTCTGGGTCAGAAATTAGAATGTTTCAGTTGAAAGGGACCTATAACGATCATCTAGTCCAAATTATCATCGCATTATGTTCTTTATGATTTGTTCCATTTGGATGAGAATTTCTATCTCCATGCATTCATTTCCTCTATGTACATTTCCACTATATATTATGTATTCATTTGTGTCCTGCCTCTCCCCCTTTCATCACCCTTACCTCTTCTCTCCTTCATCTCCTGGTATGTACGCCTGAAGAACATTTTGCTATTTGTTTTAATTTCCTTTGCGAGGTCTAACTCGGCTTTGCTTCTGGCACGTTTCCCTTTATGCCTACACTTCCTAACTTCTAAGACGTAGTTTTCTTTGATTAATCCTTTTTTCCATTCCTTCTATGCCCTTTGCTTATTCCTAATATCCACTTTGAAGTGGTTATTCACCACGTTAGGTCTGGACCCCTTCCTTACAGAGTTTTATCCCTCTGTGTACAATCCCAAATACTTTTATACCCTCGGCTTAAATTCCAAGCCTGCCCAACATTCAAACCTTCTTACGCTGTCAAAAATCAGGAAGTAAAAGACATTAATTGCTGGCGTATACCAACTTCCAGCACATTAGGCTTCCCATTGGGTTGACATTCACCATCCCACTGTGTGAGATATTCCAACTGGTTTTCTCCGTGCATGCACCCAGAGCCAAAAGATCATGGGGAGACCGCTGATGGCAGGAGAAACTCCTCTCGACCTACAGCCACAGCAGCAGTGCCAAGAGAAGGCTGGAAGGTCATTACCTGAAACTGTTCTCCTAGAATAAAAAATTGTTACAGTAGATTAAAAATTAGCATGAAGAAATGAAGTACGTACATATATTTTTAAAGCTTCTGTCAGGCAGCCAAAATGAAAACAGATTTCACTAGACCGCAAAAAATGAAACGCATGCGTTAGTCCTTGTATGACTGGAGCTTATTTCCTTGCTAAATTCCAAGATTCGGTTCTCTCCCGCTGAGGCAGAAGGGCTGCTCAAGAAAACTCCCCAAATGTCTTATAATAGCAAAGGAATACTTTTTTCTATTTCTCACTGTACAAGTTTGCCCAAGCGGTTAGATAAAACGGGGTAACATTTCCAGAAAATGTGGTTGTGATTATAATCTCTTTTCCTACCATATGTGTAAATACTAGTTGTTTTGTTTTGGGGTTTTTTTTGAGAGTTTAAGCTAGGTAGTCTCCTGACAACCAGCATGCAGCAGCTGCCCGGGCCGTGCTGGGCAGTGGCTGCTGCTGTTTTCACAAGGGACGCGTTGGATGTCCCCGGGGGCGCGGGCGCGAGGTGCAGACCTGGCATGGGGTGCGCAACGGGGAGCCTGAGCCCCGCCTCGCGTCACGTCGGTCCCGCGCAGGGGGGACCCAGACCGGCCTGACAGAGCGGCAGGGAAAACATCGTTTCAGCCCAGCTTATTAAGAAGCCTCTTTCAGAAAGTCAAACTCAATATTGTCATTTTAAACGGCTTTTTTATTTTTGGGGAAGATCCTGATTTTTGAATGGTCGGAGCCAGCAAAAAGAGCTGTGCAAGGTTTTTTGGAAAACAGAAAATTCACTGAAAGGAAAATGGGGGAAGGTGGGTGGAAGAAAAAAAAAAAAAGGAAAAAGAGAAGCCATCAAACCAAAATGGCCTTACTACAGTATTTTGCTTTGAACCAAACGTGTGCTTTTTGAGGACGATTTGAGGATGCCTCTCAGCAGTGACAAGGAGCAAGTTAACCGAAAAAGCTATGGAAACGTTGGGGCTTCTCTGTACGAAGCCCTTTTGCCCAGCTTCCCCACCAGGGAAAGGCAGGGCTCCAGCCCAGCGCCAGCGAGGGAGCCGGGACAGGTGTGGAGACGCGGAGGCTGCCATTTCTGAGAGGCCCACACCTGGCTGGCATCACGGGCACCCAACGCGTGGCACTAACGTCCCCACGCCCCCGCTGAGGCCGGGAGAGGCGGAGGGCTGGGGTCCGTCCGCCCTGAGGGGGTTCCACACCCGTTTGGCTTGGACGCGGGGTTTTGCTGCCCACCCGGGCCCCAGGAGGGCCGGAACGTTGGTGCGGCGGCCGGCGGGCCCGGGCGGAGCGGAGCGGGGGGAGGGGCGGAAGGCGCTGAGCGATGCACAACGCGGAAGTGAGCCGGGCCGTGGCTGGGGCTGCGCTCGGGTCCGGGGGGGGTGGGTGGGGGCGGGGGGCTAGCGAGGCGCCGAGCGGCCCCGGGGCGAGGGGCCCCGGGGCGGTAGGCCATGGCCACCCGGCGTCTAACGGACGCGTTCTTGTTGTTGCGGAACAACGCGGTGCAGAGCCGGCAGCTGCTGGCCGAGCAAGTGAGTAGTTACGGCTCCTCCAGCCCTCTGAGTTCACGTAGCATGGCTGCTGCGGTGAGTCTCCTCCCTTCATCCTTCTGTACCTTGCTGCGCCTGGGCTGCCAGGCAGCCCTGCCGTGTGCCCCGCTCCCCCCGTCTGCCCTCCAGCCTTCCCGGCCCCCTCACCTGCCCCGCCTCTCCCTACCTCCCTTTCTCCGGGCCCTCTCCTCAAAACCCCACCGTCCTCTGTACTCTCCCGCTCCCTCCCCACCTCGTTGATCCCTTTTTCCTACTACTTCACGTAAAACGAATAGAAGAGATCTGTCTTTGTGCCGATCACGTCTCTATTCACTTCATGAATAATAGAGTTATTGTTCTAATAACTTCATGTTAGCACTGACATGAGGTTTTTCATCCACTGTGCTTTTTGATGTCTCCTTTCCCCAAAGAAAAAAATCCAAGTTATTTCATAGAGCAGAACTCTTCTATTCCCTTCAGTGTGGGCACTGTTAAATACACTAGTGTAGATTATTCTCATTGCTTGAATTTTTTCCATAATTTGCTCTGATGTCCATTGCCCTTTTTTTATTTTTTTTCCCCAAATACAAATAATAGTGAAAGTCATCTGTGAGAGAGAGGAGTCAGTAGATTCTAGCATGAGTCCTCATTACAGAAACTTCAAAAAGCCATTTGTTCAGTGGCAGTTTATGTGGCTTTTTCTAAGTTTTGAGCTAGTCAGACTGTGATGGACTGCTTGGCAGATCAGCTCTACTGAGGTTTTTACACTTTCTGTTCAAACTTATCATTTATTTGTAATAGTCACCAGTAAATATCTGCTGGCAGTCTCATCATTCTAAATTGCTTTGCATTAATGTATTTTTGTTAGGAAAAGCAGTACTTCATGTTGCAAATTTTATTTCAACTGATGAGTTGCTCTTGAATGGTCTTTGTTCATTGTTAACTTTATTACACCTGTGTCTAACAAGCTATGTATTAAATTGCATTTGCAGAACAGGAAATGTCAATACTAATGTGTATTATACATGTTTAATTTGGCACTGCATTTAGTTCTTGTTAACTTTTTTTGCCAATATCAATATAGCTTTTTTAGATCCTTGGATTTTGTAAAATATCACATAGAAAAGTTAATGATAGTTTAAACTTGCCTACAGACTACTGAGCAGTGACACTACGCTTTTACTCAACACTTAGCACTTGCATAAAATGTTTATTTACACTGTTAACATTAATTGAAGCTATTTTCTAGGGTGCTCATTCAAATGTAATCAAAGCTAATAGTGGCTGGGAATTGTTGCTCTTGTGCAGTGGATGAAGTTAGTCAATGGATCAATTTTGATCCTGGTGGACAGTTGGGAGTTCCGTAGTTACTCAAGACAAGCCTACTGTTTTAGCAGGAAGTGTAAAGGTGGCAGCGTGAGCTATTTGCCTTTCATCTTTCTAAGGTGTCGATCACTGTCCGAGTTGCAGCTAATTACCTTTTCTTTTGGGTGGTATCCCCAGAACAGAGCTGCCGCATGTCAGCAGGGCAGTGTTGCAAACTGTAGCTCATACTACTTTGGCTTACCTTAGTTCACTCTCCGGGCTTCTCCTGAAGAAGTCCTTTACTACGAGAGCTCTCTGTCAAAAATTGCATTTTGCCCTGGAAGATGCGTTCTCATGTGGACAGTCAACCACTCCTTAAACTCAGATAATCCAAGTAGCATTCTTAACAGTATAGTCCTATTTCAAAAGCTTGGTATAGGATAAAAGAGATCATTAGTTGAAGCCTGCTGCTTTGTTAAACCACAAGTATTTTGTCCTTGTTTTGGATCTGATGTGCTTGCTTTATTAATCTTCCAGTGAAATATCCTATTGCTTGCACATACCCTCTGCAGTACAAAGGCTGATGAATAGAGAAGGTGCAGATACGTTGCAGATACTAGCCTTTTGTATTTTTTCGGATGCATATAGGATTAATTGCCTGAAACTAGAACATAATTGAAGTGTGTACATAAGTGAGTGTATACTACATTGGCTTTTGCTTTCTGTCTTTTGCTGTCTGTTTTATCCTGTGATAACTGGGGTGCTTGTCAATAAGTGTCTTACAAAAGCTTCTATGTGCATCCTCCAATCATGATCAAACCTTCTAACTCAGCAGTGGATGTTGAATACTGCAGTCAAATTGCCCTTGCTGTCACACTTCAATATATTCTATTGCAGTTTTTCTACCTGAAATTTTAGTAACTAGAAACTTCACTGTGCGGTTACTTTGGAAAACAAACCAAGCTCTTAACTTGATCTCTTATGCTCTTTCTGTTTACCAAGCAACTGAAATATTTTTTTAAAAAGTTTGTGCATCAAGCAAAATGCTGACTTAAAAAGTACAATATCATGATGTATTTACTGAATAGTTGTGTTTTAAAAGCCAGTTTGTTTTGTTCTTGGTAAACCAGCATGCTTAAAAAATAAACTAGTATTTTCTCGACTGACCATACCCTGTATCTGTCCTATGTTTCTTTTTTTCCCTTTTATCTTTTGCTGTCTCTAACTGGATGGGGCTGATGGGATCCACAAATCACTTCAGGAGCTGGATGAGGTATTGTTTTTCACATTTTATTCTGCCATGGTGCATCAAGCGTACATCATTGAGCTAAAATGTTCCTTTCTTTATTCTGCTAGTTTGTTAAATTTCATTATATAGGATGAGGTGTCTCTGCGTACAGTAGAAGGACAAGGCTGCATAGAGAAAACAAGCATTTTGTGTTATAATGTTACATTGTTAATAGATACATGTATAAACTAGTCTGACTTATTGTGTACATATGGGATATTGTGACTTTGTACAATGAGGCTGTTAACTATTTTTTATGCTATGCATAAATTGTACAAACTTTATTGATCAGGAAATAATGTCAGGGATAAAAGACAGGCTTTCAGGAAAGAATTGCCCAGGAAGGAAGAGGGATTGTTTTAAAAAAGGGGAGGGGATGGGGAACCACAAAGCTTTCCAGGCCTGATAAAGGAAAATTAGAAATTTGGGAGAAACTAGAAAGCGAGGGTTTTGTACGAAATCTTTCCCTGAGAACAAACAGTGGAGTAATTAGGTATGTTTCAAGTGGTATCACTGATGATGGTCTCCAGTCAAGGAAGATTATTTTATTGCTGAAATTACAAAGCCTGGTTCAACTGGCAACAAGATCTATATTGGTCTTCCAATTCCATCCATTCCCCTGCCTTCCTCTCAGAGGAGGAAGATGACTGGAAGCATCTATGGCCCAAGTGCTAAATGTTGCTCTGTGGCCCTGCACACTGTTAGGTGTGTATCATACTCAGCCTTAAACTGGAGAATCATAGGCATGCTTGTTGGAAGGAACCTCTGGAGATCTTCTAGTTTGAGCTCCTGCTCAAAACAGGACTATTGGTAATCTATATAGGGTTGTCCCTGACTTTGTTTAACCAAGTCTTGAAAACCTTCAAGAACAGAGATACCACACTTTCTCTGGACACCTCATCCAACACTGTGCCATTGTAGAAATAGGTTTCTTTGTACTTGCACTATAGCACTGAGTCTATTTACGTGAGTTTCTAAACCCTATCAAGAAAAATCTTCTGATCTGTTTAAAGGTTGGTAGTGCTAATACTGTCCTTAACAAAATAATTCTTATTGAGGGTGAACAGCACATTTTACTGGTTATGATATCAAAGCAGAAAAACAAATCTGTACCTGTATATTCAAGATCAGACCATGACTTTTGATTTCTGCCAAACTGAGCTTTAAAAAAACCAACCAAACAAAACCAAAACAAACACACCGCACATTATCTTCGTATTCCTTCATAGTTGTCATATTTTAAGCTTTCTTGAGGTTGAAATTATTCAACCTGCATCCAAAAGTATTATTTAAAAAATAAGGTTCTGATAGATTTATCACAGGCATTTTGTGACTCTCAAAAATACTTTTAATGAGTTATGTGGGTTTTTTTCCTAAGACTTTTTAATATTTCAAACCTACAAATTGGATTCTATTCCCAAAAATAGTCTCCAAAAAATATATCATACCCTTCTGCAACTACAACTGTGCTGCTGTACATCAGTGTGCATTAGTCTCCAGTAATATAAACCCCTGATTTGTTGCACCTGAGCTATTCAGATTATGACTATTAATTGTGATAAAGGGTTTCTTTTACTCCTTCGCTATCTCCAGCCCTCCTGTGGATCTGTGGAAAGCTGTGTATAAGCTGGATGGCACATTGTCTTATTTACTCTCTCACAAACTCTGGAATTTTCTAGAGGATTATTCCACCCATTTTCCTGCAAGTTTTCCTCAGACCATATAGCTGAAGCAGCAAGCATATGTATCACTGTGATATAGGGAAGTGTGGATTGGTCACTGTCTTGGCTATTTTTGTTTAGTACCTTTTAATTTCTGTTAAATAAATAATTTAACAATTCTAGTTGCATGTCAGTTTGCAAGAGTGTTTGTTCTTCAGCTGCCTAGTAGGTGAGTGCCTGGCTAAATACAACATTGTTTGAGAACAATCACGGGATACTGTTTTTATTTCTTGGAGACATAATAAACATTTTTACATGGAGATTTTCCCAAATGAGATTTTCAGACTTGCTTGGCCCCATATAAACCATGCTACACCATTGATTAGGGATCCCTTGACTGTGAATCATTGTCTAATACAAATGTACCAACATGAGAATTACTTGGAATTCTCACTTCAATACCATATTTTCTCCTTGAAAATCTGCTAAGAATTTATTCTAAGGGTAACTTTCATCTTTCAGATCCTGTAGGAAGTGGGAGGATGCAGGTCGTTAGCATATAAGGACAAATCGGGAGATGTGGAGCTTGATCATACCTGCATCATGCGCACACACACTTTTGAGGTTAATTTTTGTGGGACGGTATACATGCAGTTTTTCCTAACGCTCGAGGATTTGGATCTAACTTGAGTAAAACTAATTTGCTGTCTTTTCTTATCTTCTGTAGCTTGCTGATGATCGTATGGCACTGGTATCGGGAATAAGTTTAGATCCCGAAGCAGCAATTGGAGTAACAAAACGCTTACCTCCCAAATGGGTTGATGGAGCAGACGAAGTAAGTCGTGTGGCAAATCCAACGCAGAGTTTGATTTCTCATGTAGGGATTTATTAGTGTTGTCAGTTACATTCTCAATGCTGTAAGTTTTACAACACAAGTAGTATTAGATGAAAGACTAAAATAAGTGTGTTTTCTAAATTGACTTCCTTGTTTAGAGGAAAATATCAGGCAAGCTTTGACTTATTATCTTGAGGGATATATTGCAAGTGAAATAAAGGGAGATTGTCTAGGGCCAGAAATTCCGGAAGACTGGGTTTGCATCATCAGTGGGAGCCCAGTATTAACAGTACACTGGGACCATTAGGATAGACATGCTATAACTGAGCGTTTAGACTTGAGACTGCAGGAAGGTCCTAAAGCTCTTAGCAAACCAAAGTTGTTCTCAGTTTGAAATTTAGAAAGAAGGGTACCAAAAAATTAGCACTTTCGGTAGACTTTTTGTTTGAACCCATTGAGGGGTCCAGTTGAATAGACCCTCAAATGGTGGAGAATAGCAGTTTAGTATTTGAAAACAGAAAGCGTTAGTGTCTTGTAGCAGGAGATTTTTTCCTGCCTATGAAGTACTGATGCCTTGCAAGTCATGGAACTATTTGGACAAATGTGAGGGAACGATTCTGGAGGCATCCAGTTAAAAACCTTTTCCAGTATTTGGAGCGCGAAGCCATTCTTGACTTTCAGAAAATCCTTTTAAAATGTACTCTCAGAACACATGTTGGGTCACCAGTACTCTGTGCGTACAGAACCCATTGTGCAGAAAGGTGATCAGTCTCCTTTTTACTATGATAATTATCCTTACAGATTTATCTTTAATGACTTGTTTGAAAGCATGCCATTTAACTTCTACTGTTAAGTTCAGGCTGTTTGATGTTTGACAGAGTTGAAGGTGTGACCTGAATTTTCATTTATATTTTTGGAAGTTAGCTAAACCTTCTTACTATGATATTAATTATATAATGATAAAAATATTATTCCAACTTAATGAAGCATATTTGAAAGCAGCAGTCTTGCCTAAGATCAGCAACAGTAGGTTTAAAAAGTAGCAAACTCAGTATATGAGAGAATTCAGTTACTTCTTAGTCAGCTTTTTATGTGTTTTATTTTAGTGATCTTTGGTCTGCTTTCCATGTTATCTAGATTTCTTTCAATGATTTTTGTTTAGCATTTGTCAGAACCTTTTCCTATGAAACATTAGTCACTTCCCTTTCTTCATTGTTGGGTCTTCTGTTTTAGATTCAGTATGATATTGCCAGGGTTAAACAGAAGATGAAAGAATTAGCCAGTCTTCATGATAAACATCTAAACAGACCAACACTGGATGACAGCAGTGAAGAAGAACGGGCAATAGAAATAACAACCCAAGAGATCACACAGGTACAGACTGCTTTCAGTTCTAAACCTACAGTTTGATATATCTGTAATGCATCATGACGAGGCAGTCGTTTCCTTTGAGTAAAGCATTTCTTTTGTAATCAGTATTAGAGCTAGCCAGAAGTCCTGGGCTCTAGGCTTGCTACTGCACTCACTGTCTCGGTGAACTTCTCAACGAGTCACTTCACCTCCCTGTTCTTTTACTTACCTGTTTGCTTTTCTACTTGGAATAAGATTGGGAGGCTTAATCAAATCACATTTACAGATATCTCAGAGAAATACATATATATATATATTCTAAGGCTTCCGGTCCAAGCAGTTCTAATGAAGCAAGTGTCTTTGGTCAGAAGTAGTTGTGTTACTGTGCTACCCTGTTAGGTTTAAGTTGTTTGTTCATCTATGTTATGTGTTTCCATACCTTTTTAAACATTGCAGTGGGCAATAAGAAATTAATTTTAAGATAGTCTTCCATTTGAAACTTTCGCAATGTGATGTTTAAAGTGTGTGTTGCTATATGGTTTTTACTAATGGAATTGTTTTCTCAGTTATTTCACAGATGTCAGAGAGCAGTCCAGGTCTTGCAGAGCAGGTCGCGGAGTTGTACAGAACAAGAAGCACGTGTTCTCAGGAATGTAGTGTCTTCCTTAGCACAGTCCCTTCAGGACCTATCCACCAACTTTAGGCATGCACAGTCTGACTATCTCAAACGTAAGCATAAGAGATACGGTAATACCTGGGCACCTTCTGTGGAAAGCACTAATTAAGGTGTGCTTATTTTCTTGGTTGGGAAAACTGAAGCACAGAAGGGTTAAGTGATGCACACAGGCCTACCAGAAGTATATTAGAGTGGAGGTTAGAACTTGGGAGTTTCTGGTTTACAGCCCATGTTCAAACTGCTTTATTCTACATCTCTTTCATATTGCTAAGGGAGAAATTTCATGGTTAAATACATCAACAAAAGCAGTGTATTTCGTTCATCCACATTTTTAATGCGTCATTGTTTCTCAAATTGGTGGTCTGCAAAGCTACTTCTGTTACACTGGTGAAGCAGCCATTGTTCCTCAGACAAGATAACCTGCTGTTGACTGGTAGTCTGCGATAGATAAAACTTTAAAAGGTAGTCTGTAATAAATTAAAATTCTGCATCCATAAACAGATCGGAAGTGGAATATCCTCTGTTTAAAACTCTAAAATTGTGTGCAATTCTATTTTCAGCTAAGTCAGATTATTTTAATCTTGGAAGAAGCCACAAAAATTTGATCTTCAAATTTAATACTGATATAATATTTCTTCCTCCCATGGTATAAATGGCACAGGTGGAACCTAAGATCACAATTCAGACAAGGGATGTTCCTAAGAGATTTTGTTAGAAAATAGCCTAGAGTGATCACACTTCAAGGCTCTTAACTTACCTAATTTTTTTTAACTTCATGGAACATAATGACTTAAAATCACTGATGTAATCAGTGCCTTGCAAGTCTGGTTGAATTTGTTATGCTTTGTTAAATAGTAAGCTTGTGTGACAGTTAAAATTTAGATACTGCTATTGATGTCATTTATTAGCCAGATTTTCTTTCTTGTGCTTTTCTGTCTGGTGCTTCAGACCTTACTCTTACTCTGATTTTAGTGTGCGTAAACATTATGCTCAAACATAGTTTGTCTTTTACAGGCATGAAGAATAGAGAAGAAAGATCCAAACACTTCTTTGACACCTCAGTCCCACTGATGGATGATGGGGAGGATGATACACTTTACGACAGAGTAAGTTATTATTACACAAATTCAATCCGAGCAAAGTTTTTAATGTACCTTTAATTTTAGTATGAACTATGAAAATGGTATGCAATGAGCACCAAGCTACATGGAAATACTGTTTCTGCAGATTTCTGTGATGCATTTTCCTAATTAGTATCGCTGTTGTGATGTTAAGATGATTGTGCCATCAGCCTCAGTGTTGCAGTGTAAGGGAACTCAGTTTGACTACTGAATTCTCCTTACATGACTCTCAGGGACTAGTAGGTCTGTAAACAGAGTGCTGCCTTTTGTCATACCACCTTTCTGGGCAGATACAAGAGTAATTGTTAGAAAACAGTGTGATTCCGAGTTTGGGTGGAAGGTGGCACTCTTTAAAGTGAACTTGAAAGTGTAACTGAAGATTTTCAGTGTTACAAATTGTTGCAAATAATGGTGTAATGATTTGTTTCCGCGCAGTTAAGTTGTTATGTTGTAGAGCTGTACCAGACCCACTTCTTTGTTTTACTTTGTTGTGGAGTTTGGGGATGCTGCAGTTCTAAGCAACGGTGGGATCTGTTCTATTGTATCCTGTCTAATAGTGCCGCAGAATACTCTTAACTGCAATGCTTAATATTTAACTGAAAACTTACTGAAAAAGTCAAGGCAGCTTTTCAGCTAATCTTGTGTATAAGAGATTTTTCATTTATCTCTAAATAAGAGCGATGGGGAAAGAATAGTGTTCAGTGGTGAATGGCCTTGGGAGACAAAACCAGTAAGTCTCTATAGTTTATAAAAAAAATCAGAATTGCTGCTGTTTCTTTACACATTGGTATTATGGGACTTTCTGTAATGCTGATCAATCAGAAGATATTCCGTAACTACTAGACACTTGCATGTATTGGTTTTGTACACCAATAAAAACATTGTTTTAGGACAGATCTTATTTTAAAAGGTTGTTGGTGTGTTTGGACAGGATGCAAAATTTACATTTTTCTCTGCTCGAACTATAAATAGCTGGCCAAGTTATTTTAGTGCTCCTGAAACTGTTTTTAAAATACAATAAATTTTTTTTTCTTACATACTTGACTACTAAGAAAATTCCAAAAGGACTGTTGTGTTATGAAATCTTATAATCCTTTCTAGTGTTTTCATGTTGTTAATGTTCGTTCAACATCTAAGTCTTTTATTTCAACAGGGTTTTACAGATGACCAGCTAGCACTGGTGGAGCAAAACACATTAATGGTGGAAGAG